GGTAACCGTCAAATGCCTTTTGTACGCCGATGATCAAGTCATATTTGCATCGTCGGCAGCCGAGTTGCAAATGATGGTTACTTTAATGAACTGGTCATTGAAAGAAAGGGGTATGAAAGTGAACGCAAGTAAGACGAAAAGTGATGGTTTTTGAAAGAGAAGAAAGTAAAACGTTATGTGAAATAAGAATAGAAGGAGAGTTGATTGAGCAAGTGGATGAGTTTGTATATTTGGGATGTTTATTTAGCAGGGATGGTAGATATGATAAGGATATAGAACGACGAGTGAACGCAGGAAATAGAGTGAATGGGGCTCTACACGCCATTATGAGGAGTCAGAATGTGTCAAATAAGGCACGTATGGCAATTCATAATGCTGTGTTAGTCCCTACTTTAATGTATGATGTAAGTTGGGTCTGGCAGAAGAAGCATGAGAGTAGAATAAATGCTGTAGAAATGCGTTCCTTAAGGAGTACGCTAGGGCTGAATCTGAATGACAGGGTGAGAAATAGTGTGATAAGAGAAAAGTGTGGTTTGCAAGATGACGTTGTGACAAGGATTAAGAAAGGAATGCTTTGGTGGTTCGGTCACGTAGAAAGAATGAACGAGGAAAGAGTGACAAAGCAAATTTATGTTGCAGAAGTGAACGGCAGGGTCGGGAAGGGACGCCCTAGACGAAGATTCATCGACCAAATCGGCGATACGTTAAAAATGGGCCAGATTAGGAGTACCCTTAACCGACGAGCGTGTATGCGTAGATGTAAAGGCGAGGTGTGTGTGTGTGTGTGTGTGTGTGTGTGTGTGTGTGTGTGTATGTGTATGTGAGCGCGCGCGTGTGTGTGTGTGCGTGTGTGTGCGCGCGTGCGAGTGCGTGTGTGCGCGTGCGAGCGTGTGCGTGCGCGTCCGAGTGCGTGCGTGTGTGTGTGTGTAGGTGTGTGTGTGTGTGTGTGTGTGTGTAGGTGTGTGTAGGTGTGTGTGTGTGTGTGTGTGTGTGTGTGTGTGTGTGTGTGTGTGTGTGTGATTACATTTTTAATATATTATTTTAAATATTTTAGGTGGGAAATATGTAAAATATAAATAAAATACTAAAGGTATGTTTAACAAAACGTATTAATATAATATTTAATTTAAAAATATATTTATTTAGATTAGAATAAGACTCTGAATAAGATGCTGGGCACGCAAGTGTCAAAAATGGACAAATTTATTCCACTTTTCCCTGTTTTATGGCTTGGACGTAGAAACCTAAAAATTAAATAAGTAAAAGAGTAATCAGCAAAGAACAATGGCGAACTTTCATACATAAAATTAGTTGACAAGGTATGGTAGCGTCTATATATCAAAAATATCTTAAAATGTTAAACGTCTTTTGTCTGTTGACGAATTTTGTCAAAAAAATATATTTAGGTTTGAACATTTTTAGGTTATGTCTTATGTCACTTGGAAAAGGTCATGCGCCAAGTGGTTGTTTATTGTTATACAGCTTTAATATAGCTTAATACATTCTCAACATAACGTACCTACCTACATAATTGAGAGTTTTTAGATTATTGTATCTCATTTATATGTATATATATTTGCATACTTTAAATGTATATTTCTGGCATGGCTAAGGGCTTTTGTGTCATACAGTGACATTCTCAGAAGGGCTAGAACCCAGAGCCGTAAAGCCAGTAAAAAGACAGTGACTTTTTTTTTGGAGTTTATGGCCTGGTATCTAGACCTTTAGGCCAAGTCTTAAGTATTTTTATTCGGTTTATTGTAATGAGGGCATCCACGACTTTTTCTACCACCAGGGCGGCGCCACTGGAAAGGGAGGTATAACATTTGACAGATTTCATAGCGGTAAAGTTAATTTATTTGGAAAATGTAACACTTATTGTTTCTTTTTGTATTATTAGCTATATTTTATATTAATAACATTCAAAATAAATAAACCAAATCACAGATATTCATAAAAGTAGAAAAATTATAAATAGTAAAAAATGTACAAATATTTTAAAAAGGAAACCACTGACGCATTATTTTTGTATTAATATAATAATCTAGAAACTGATAAACATTTATTAAAAAACAACTTCTCAATTAAATTACATTGTGTAACAAAAAACTTTATCTCAGTGTCAACTAGCGACATCTGGTGAGCGGAAAATTATTAGCCCCCATTTCCCCACTCCTTCATAGTATACTGCTTCACAATATGTTGATGCGTCACATTGTGCAGTTCTTGGGAGATTTTGGCGGCAACTTGATCCAGCAGATAGCTGATAGTTGGCGATGGTATCTAAAGGTGCCTATGCAAACAAACAGCTTATCTTGAGAATCCATCACCATCAGAGCACTTGTTTCACTGTTTCCACTAATAGTTCACATGCGTAGACACTTAATACACAAAATCGCAACACTTTTACATATCAAAGTCCACTTCAAACCATTATTTAAACAATAATACAGGAGCAGCAAACCGCCGCCGGTCAATTTCCCGCCAAAACTCCCGACAGTGACATTTTGTTTTAGCTAGTGTTGCCATAACATTAAATGGAAATGTTACATAGTACTATGATTGAGATAATGTATTATTGTAGGAAGTTCTTTGTAAGAGACTTATTTTTAACCATATCACATTTATTTTTATTATTACTGATAGTATTGTTATTACTAATAATAACTTAATATAAAATATTTTGTGTTTGTATGTTGTGTTGGTAGTCTTACAAAGTGTATACGAAAATAGTATGAATATAGTAAACGGCAAAACTTGAATAGAGTAAAATGATTTAAGTCGAATGATATTCCAAAAAAATGTTTGTTTTTTTTTTCTGTGGCTTTAATTAAAATACATTTTTATTTGAAAAATCATAGAAAAATAATAAAACTCTTTTTATATATAACTTATTTCTAGACGCAATAATTTTTGTCAACTATTTTTCTGCTATTGTTCTTTAAACATCAGAAATTTAGCCTAATTATGAATACTTCTATTTGTTTCTACAAAAAAAAAATGTACATAATATAACCGTCCTACACCTTCCCACAGAAACGTCGCATCTGAACAAATTAATTTCATAATCTATATTCCATGACACGAGATGGCGTCTCAGGAATAATTTGTATGACTGTTAATATCACTTTTTTATTAATTATAAGCATCTTATTCAGTGATGGAAAGTTATTCCTTGGTATTTGCTAATTTTTCTTAAGAATATATAATCAACACATCACATGTCAACTCACTAGCGTCTAGCGAGTGAATGAGTAAAGTGCGGCGACATCACCGCAATTGAATGGGGCAGCGTAACTAAATGCAGTGTTCCTCTAGTACGTAGTACATAATAGCTCAATGGCATTAATCCATCCAAATTATGTCAACCTTACTTGCTAACCAACGAGGTGATCTCTTTTTTTTTATAGAATGAAGGTAACAAACTAGCACACAGACCACCTGAAGGTAAGTGGATGCTGTAGTCGATATACGAGGGCTGGGCAAAAAGTTCGCAAAAGTTCGTTCACTGCTTGGTGACTCGATACAACTATAAATACCAATTTGCAGCCAGATCAGTTCATTAACCCTTGAGATAACAGATAAACAAGTCAATTGAATACTAGCTATGAGAAAATTGAATTTCGTGCCGTGATTAATATCCTCACTAATAATCAAGAAAAAACGCCACATATAATTATTGAAGAGATGTCATCTGTTTACGGCGACTCTTACCCTGGAAATTGTAGAAAAAGTTGATAAACATTTTCTTGAAGAGGTTCGTCCGAAGCAAAAACAGATTGCAGAAATTACGAACGTTTTAAACATTTTCCATGATCATTTTGGCATGTCTAAGGTGAGTCGAAGACGGGTGCCAAGAATGAAAGGTGGTAGAGCCACGCGGCAGTTTTTGCTGTTGCACGTATGGGCTGGCTCGAGCCGGCCGGGTTGGTACCACGACCTCACAGAATACCGGCGTGAAGTAGAAGCTCTGCTTTTGCGTTTCGTCTGGTGAGTGCAGGTGGCCGGAGGCTCCAGTCCCCCCCCCCCCCCCCCTCCCATCAACATGGTAGCGGAATTACATCAAAGTCTACCCCGGGAGTCATACTGCATAGGTCGTTGATATAAATTAAAAATAAGGTTGGCCCCAGAACGCTACCCTGTGGTACGCCATATGATGAAACTCCCGCATCCTCACTAGTGAACCCAGGAAGCTTTACCTTTTGTTTTCTCTCTGACAGGTAGCTTTCGAAAAGAGCAAGCGGGGTCCCTCTTATTCCAACTTTTTCAAGCTTGTGCACAAGTATAGGGACAGAGATGGTATCGAATGCTTTCTTCAGATCAAGGAAAACTGACAAACATTTTTTACTGTGGTCGAGTAGTTCTGTTACAAATGTGCTTAATTCAAGAATTGCATCTTCTGTCGATCTTCCTTGTCTGAAGCCAAACTGTGTGGGTGCCAATAAATCAAATTTATTTAAGTAGTTGAGTAATCTAATATTAAGAAATAATAATATTAATATTTACATTGTTTAAGTAGTAATATTAACATTGTAGTAATATTTACATTGCTTTTAAAGTTTATATCCTTTGTCATGGCACTGTCATAGAGTGTAGGTGAAAATAATGAGGTCTTACTGTTAACTTTGTTATTTACAAAACTTTGATAACGATTTCCCCCCGCAAAATATGACAGACAGTTTTGTATAGGCAAAAGACGCTATGGCTACTCTCCTCCGATCCGCCGGTACCCTTGAAGGCAAGAAAGTATAAGTCTGAGAAGTGTATTAAGGTAAGGTAATCGAAAAGGAAAGATAATTTCATGTTCAATTTCACGCCCTTTCCCTTTAACTCTGCGAACTTTTTGACCTCCCCTCGTACATCTACATTTATCCTCGATTAAGAATGAAAATACGGATGCGTTGACACATTTGAGGACTAATGGTCTCCGGCTCTTACAGCAACATTAAGTTGCTGTCTTACGCTGGTAGTAAGTGGTAGAAAGTGGCGTGGAAACTCACTGTCCATCGTTCTTGCCCAGCGGTTCGTCGTACTGCACGCCGATCCAAACTCCGCGCGCGCCGTCCAGCGGGCCGTTGTAGCGCACCGTGGCGCGGCGGCGCGGCTGCTGCGGCGCGCGCACCTCGCACCGCGCCCCCACCACCACGCTCGCGGCCAGCCTGCACACACGTACACACGTACACACACCCACACACGTACATCCTACTCTATAGCTGCCAGGAGAACTACTGCGGCGCGCGCACCTCGCACCGCGCCCCCACCACCACGCTCGCGGCCAGCCTGCACACACGTACACACGTACACACACCCACACACGTACATCCTACTCTATAGCTGCCAGGAGAACTACTGCGGCGCGAGCAACTCGCACCGCGCCCCCACCACCACGCTCGCGGCCAGCCTGCACACACGTACACACGTACACACACCCACACACGTACATCCTACTCTATAGCTGCCAGGAGAACTACTGCGGCGCGCGCACCTCGCACCGCGCCCCCACCACCACGCTCGCGGCCAGCCTGCACACACGTACACACGTACACACACCCACACACGTACATCCTACTCTATAGCTGCCAGGAGAACTACTGCGGCGCGAGCAACTCGCACCGCGCCCCCACCACCACGCTCGCGGCCAGCCTGCACACACGTACACACGTACACACACCCACACACGTACATCATACTCTATAGCTGCCAGGAGAACTACTGCGGCGCGAGCAACTCGCACCGCGCCCCCACCACCACGCTCGCGGCCAGCCTGCACACACGTACACACGTACACACACCCACACACGTACATCCTACTCTATAGCTGCCAGGAGAACTACTGCGGCGCGCGCACCTCGCACCGCGCCCCCACCAACACGCTCACGGCCAGCCTGCACACACGTACACACACCCACACACGTACATCCTACTCTATAGCTGCCAGGAGAACTACTGCGGCGCGCGCACCTCGCACCGCGCCCCCACCACCACGCTCGCGGCCAGCCTGCACACACGTACACACGTACACACACCCACACACGTACATCCTACTCTATAGCTGCCAGGAGAACTACAGCGGCGCGCGCACCTCGCACCGCGCCCCCACCACCACGCTCGCGGCCAGCCTGCACACACGTACACACGTACACACACCCACACACGTACATCCTACTCTATAGCTGCCAGGAGAACTACTGCGGCGCGCGCACCTCGCACCGCGCCCCCACCACCACGCTCGCGGCCAGCCTGCACACACGTACACACGTACACACACCCACACACGTACATCCTACTCTATAGCTGCCAGGAGAACTACTGCGGCGCGCGCACCTCGCACCGCGCCCCCACCACCACGCTCGCGGCCAGCCTGCACACACGTACACACGTACACACACGTACACACACCCACACACGTACATCCTACTCTATAGCTGCCAGGAGAACTACTGCGGCGCGCGCACCTCGCACCGCGCCCCCACCACCACGCTCGCGGCCAGCCTGCACACACGTACACACGTACACACACCCACACACGTACATCCTACTCTATAGCTGCCAGAAGAACTACTGCGGCGCGCGCACCTCGCACCGCGCCCCCACCACCACGCTCGCGGCCAGCCTGCACACACGTACACACGTACACACACGTACACACACCCACACACGTACATCCTACTCTATAGCTGCCAGGAGAACTACTGCGGCGCGCGCACCTCGCACCGCGCCCCCACCACCACGCTCGCGGCCAGCCTGCACACACGTACACACGTACACACACCCACACAGGTACATCCTACTCTATAGCTGCCAGGAGAACTACTGCGGCGCGCGCACCTCGCACCGCGCCCCCACCACCACGCTCGCGGCCAGCCTGCACACACGTACACACACCCACACACGTACATCCTACTCTATAGCTGCCAGGAGAACTACTGCGGCGCGAGCAACTCGCACCGCGCCCCCACCACCACGCTCGCGGCCAGCCTGCACACACGTACACACGTACACACACCCACACACGTACATCCTACTCTATAGCTGCCAGGAGAACTACTGCGGCGCGCGCACCTCGCACCGCGCCCCCACCACCACGCTCGCGGCCAGCCTGCACACACGTACACACGTACACACACCCACACACGTACATCCTACTCTATAGCTGCCAGGAGAACTACTGCGGCGCGAGCAACTCGCACCGCGCCCCCACCACCACGCTCGCGGCCAGCCTGCACACACGTACACACGTACACACACCCACACACGTACATCATACTCTATAGCTGCCAGGAGAACTACTGCGGCGCGAGCAACTCGCACCGCGCCCCCACCACCACGCTCGCGGCCAGCCTGCACACACGTACACACGTACACACACCCACACACGTACATCCTACTCTATAGCTGCCAGGAGAACTACTGCGGCGCGCGCACCTCGCACCGCGCCCCCACCAACACGCTCACGGCCAGCCTGCACACACGTACACACACCCACACACGTACATCCTACTCTATAGCTGCCAGGAGAACTACTGCGGCGCGCGCACCTCGCACCGCGCCCCCACCACCACGCTCGCGGCCAGCCTGCACACACGTACACACGTACACACACCCACACACGTACATCCTACTCTATAGCTGCCAGGAGAACTACAGCGGCGCGCGCACCTCGCACCGCGCCCCCACCACCACGCTCGCGGCCAGCCTGCACACACGTACACACGTACACACACCCACACACGTACATCCTACTCTATAGCTGCCAGGAGAACTACTGCGGCGCGCGCACCTCGCACCGCGCCCCCACCACCACGCTCGCGGCCAGCCTGCACACACGTACACACGTACACACACCCACACACGTACATCCTACTCTATAGCTGCCAGGAGAACTACTGCGGCGCGCGCACCTCGCACCGCGCCCCCACCACCACGCTCGCGGCCAGCCTGCACACACGTACACACGTACACACACGTACACACACCCACACACGTACATCCTACTCTATAGCTGCCAGGAGAACTACTGCGGCGCGCGCACCTCGCACCGCGCCCCCACCACCACGCTCGCGGCCAGCCTGCACACACGTACACACGTACACACACCCACACACGTACATCCTACTCTATAGCTGCCAGAAGAACTACTGCGGCGCGCGCACCTCGCACCGCGCCCCCACCACCACGCTCGCGGCCAGCCTGCACACACGTACACACGTACACACACGTACACACACCCACACACGTACATCCTACTCTATAGCTGCCAGGAGAACTACTGCGGCGCGCGCACCTCGCACCGCGCCCCCACCACCACGCTCGCGGCCAGCCTGCACACACGTACACACGTACACACACCCACACAGGTACATCCTACTCTATAGCTGCCAGGAGAACTACTGCGGCGCGCGCACCTCGCACCGCGCCCCCACCACCACGCTCGCGGCCAGCCTGCACACACGTACACACACCCACACACGTACATCCTACTCTATAGCTGCCAGGAGAACTACTGCGGCGCGAGCAACTCGCACCGCGCCCCCACCACCACGCTCGCGGCCAGCCTGCACACACGTACACACCTACACACACCCACACACGTACATCCTACTCTATAGCTGCCAGGAGAACTACTGCGGCGCGCGCACCTCGCACCGCGCCCCCACCACCACGCTCGCGGCCAGCCTGCACACACGTACACACGTACACACACCCACACACGTACACACACCCACACACGTACACACACCCACACACGTACATCCTACTCTAATAGCTGCCAGCAGAACTACTGCGGCGTGCGCACCTCGCACTACACAAACAACTAGCTCAGGTAATTTCTGCGAAGTTTAAACTGTGTCATTGTTCTGTCGGTCTTGGTAATGTTTTAGTACAAGCTAATAAGGTGATTTTGCAGAGAGGATGCCCGTGTTGCCATGTTGCTGTTGTAAGTGTTGGCAGTGTTGCTGTTGCTTCACGTACTGCACATCTGATAGCATGTATTTACTTCTTATGCATTTCATGAATAATTTATAATGTAAATTTGTTACTAAACAGCTGTCATTTATTTAAATAATTTTGGGAGTATTTTCTTATAGAAATCATAGTTAGTCCATCACTTACATAACAAACCAATATCCCATTAGTCGCCTGATATGACATGCTAGGCTAGTACACAACAATGGGGCTCATAAGTCACAGACCAACATGGGCCCAAAATGCATAATTTTCTGCAGTATTGACTACTGTGCTCCTTGTAGAACTTTGTGAATGACTTTCGGGAATTTTGCTTTTCTTTCTTGTTGTTGTCATTTTTTAAACTTTAAAGTTTAAAAAATGACAACATTTATCCAAGATGAGAATGAAATAATATAGTAAAGTAATAAAAACAAAAAATAAATTAAATACATACTTAGCCTCCTCTTCAAGTTCCTTCTGCTGTTGCTCTTTCAATTTGTTCATCTCTTCTTCATTGTATTTGCCTAATTTATTGCGTTGTAGAAATGACCGCAGTGTATCCCCCTTCTTTTCATATTCTTCTTCAGAAAGACGAAACCTAATTTTTTTTGGAAAAATCTAATTAAGAAATAATGTTACATGACCCAATATTATAAAGTTATTAATTGTAAAATAAGCCCTAGTGAAATTTTAATTGAATTGTCAAATAATACTTTTTTTAAATTCAAATTAGTACCAGATTTAAAGAGTGTAAGAAAGAATATTATATCCCTTTACTTTCTCTTGGGCAAATATACAAATGCAATGGGACCAGGAATGATGGTTTCCTTTAGGCTTTTTCAAAGTATATTCAATTTAAGTGAAATGTTAATGATGATGATGATAACAACAACTTTTTCTTTTTGTGATTTATCATGCAATCAGTCAATGGACTATGAGCACATTGGTTGTAGGACAGATTGGCGTACAGAGATAACTTCCCCAGCGGCAAGCACTCCATAAGTCTCAGCTATACATTGTCAAGTATATGCCTTCTCTTTAAATGGCAAATTGCTTGTGGCGTTGATGACAATAACAACAACTATATTTATATTTAACAGAAGATACTTAGCTCTTCATCTTTCAACATATAAATTTCCATGACTGGACTTGGACCTTTGCCATTGTAGGAAGAGTTTGCCTTAATAGTCACACTTTTTTTTAATCTTTTTTTTTCTTTTTCTTTATAGGATAGGGTGACAAACGAGCACACAGTCCACCTGATGGTAAGTGGTTGATATGGCAGAGACAGTAGACATCTACCTCTATCCTCGTTTGCGAATCAAAATGTAGATGTGTTGTCATCCTTGAGGACTAAGATAGACTACCTCATTTCCAGTAAAAAGGGTCTCTGGTTCCCTACACTCACCATACGAAACACAGCAGTGTTAAGCTGCTTTTTTACACTGGTATTCTGTGAGAGCGTGGTGCTTCCCCGGTAGAGCTGACCTATTCGTGCTACAAATATACTACTAATATAGCTGCAGCGTGGCTCTACAACGAGTAGTGTGTAGCTTAGCAGGCTGATTGACAATTGCAGTACCAGAGTCTGGGTACTTATAGGTCTGGGTATTTTAAGACTGGCTTAAATGAGATTGTTATATCACCATAATAATAAGGTTATGGATGCTATTCTAATATCATGTATTGCACAGGACATATTTTGCAAATGTAGATTTAAACAAAAATTCAGTACTTTTTACATATTAGCTACAACCCCTTACAACAGACAACACTGAAATACACTAAGGACTAACTGAACAAGTTTTTTTTTTTTATAGCCTATTCTGTAAAAGGACAGTAATAGTAGTTCATACAATTTGTAGGTGTAAAATCCAACTAAAGTTGACATGATCATATAATTTCAAATAAAATTAAGTCAATGAATTTATGAAAATTAATGTTTGATTGAACCTTCAGGTGTCTGTCTCATAAACAGTAACCATTTTTAATATTTTTTTTTATAGGATAGGGTGACAAACGAGCACACAGTCCACCTGATAGCAAGTGGTTACTGTGACCCATAGACATCACATCTATCCTCAATAAAACTCAAGATGCAGATGCGTTGTCACCCGTGAGGACTAAGATGGAATGCCTCATTTCCAGTAAAAAGGGTCTCCGGTTCTCTACACTCACCAAACGAAACACAGCAGCGTTAAGCTGCTATTTTACGCTGGTTTTCTGTGAGAGTGTGGTCCTTCCCCGGTCGAGCCGACCCATTCGTGCTACAACCATAATATAGCTGCAGCATGGCTCTACCACGTTTAAGTCCCTTACCTTTCAGCACTATCACTGCCAGTGAAATCTTTGACAAGGATGAAGTTGTCAATAACATGTATTCTCATGCCATCATCGATTGGGTATGAACCAAGTAGGGCATTATCATTAGCAATGTCACAAACAAAGTTGTTTTTATTGTCAAACAACTTTAACTTCATAGTTGTAGCTGAACCTCCAGTCACTAGCTCCAATTTTGTCTATAAAATATAAAGGGAGATTATATTTATTAATTTAGAAAAATACAGTAACAATAATATGTTTAAAGAGAGGAAACAATTGTAATGGTTTATTTGTAACTTTATATGTAATTTGATAATTATAATTTAAAGAAAGTATACAGCATGCATTGGCAATAATAATGGCGAGGCTGCTGAGAGGTGGTCCAATGAGATCTTGATTCAATTAAAAGAAATCTGTAAAAACATACAGGTACTATATTTAGCATATTGCACACATCAAACGCAAAGCAGAGATGTAGTGCTCTATTGTCACAAAATCGCGATCAGTTCCACCAGCTTTATATTGCACTTATATAATTACTAATATGATCTTTAAATCGAAACGTATTAAAATTTTAGTACCTACAGTTAGTGTCGGTTTAACAAATAATATTTATAGAAGAATTAAATATTGGTATATAACGTAAATATTTTATTATCAAAATGAATACAATGAAATTCAATGCAGATTTCAGGAGTACTCGAGTAAATTTTAAAAAGGTGTGAATGTGATTCATTCTAACCTTAAACTCTGAAACAGTAATGTCTTTCTTGAAACGTCTTTCAACTGGCGCCGCATCTTCACTATCAGACTTGGTTATGTGAACATTCACATAATCCTGTGTTATAATCTGGATTCCTTCCATCATTCAAATTGGATTAACAACAAACTAAAAAAGTTTTCTCGTATAATACACACAACAACATCCAGATCTGTCAAGTGTCAAAATGTTTGTGGTCAAAATCAACTGTGTTGGAATCGGACAGATAAAAAAATATTGTACGTTTCGTTCAAAAAGGTAGTATTTATAAAAAAAAAGAAACAAAATATAACACGATAATCTTTTTAAGTCTAACACTTGAAAAGAAAATGAATAAATGATATAAGAAAATATACAATTTAAATTATACAACTTGAAATCATCACTTAACTTTGAATTATGGTATGTTTATATCGATTTCAGCAACTTCTGCACTACATACCGTTATAACTTTTATCATTGGCTCTTTGTAACATTTCTTCCGTCGGTTCAAAATCGGTGCAGTTGCCATTTTTGTTATGTTTTATTGCATGGCATGTCAGTAAGATTGCATCTACAGTTCGTGTTACTAGTCTTTTCCGAGTCCTTGACTCAGTAAAGTTGATCTTACTAAATATACGTTCATAATCTGCGTTTGCATGTGGAAGCATGAGACAATCCAATGCGAATTGGGCAATATCGCTGAAAGTCTTGTTTTCTGTCTGATCACTCCATTTACTAAGTTTAGCCCAAAACACATCTACTTTCTTTTCAATTTTTATTTCTTCTGCTATTTTTGAAAAGGATAGTTGGTGCCATTAATCATCCAAAATTTGCAAAAAATTTATATCATCTACATCTTCGACCCTGTGAAATGCTAACGCAATGGGTAGGATGGAAGGAACAAGGATATTTTCATCAGTGGTGCATTATCGAAATCCCATCTTTTGTTTTTTTGTAAGGCAGCTTCAACCAGGGACGTGGAGTATCTTAGACGGGCCTTGTATCAAAATTCATTGGAAGCCTCAAATGAAGAGTAAAGATTTTTCACAAAAGTAAAAAAAATGCTCGCATTGAATTAAATAATTATATATTATTGATTTTAAGCTATTACTTACAATTAATACTCCTGGGAACTAAACTAGCTAAACAATTCAAATCAAATATACACTTTAGCACGCCTCATAACGCAAAGCGTTATTAGGTAGTGCTTTACTCTCGACACGTTAAGGTTAAGCATGTTGTGTTCTTAAAATTCCCTATCATAAACATATTGCACTTATACGATAATATGAGTAGCCGTATATTAAGAAAACACTCTAATTAATCCTTGTTATATTTTCTAAAAAAATCATTTTATATTGCTACTTTGAAAATAAAACGGTTGAAAAAAATTTTACATGGACGTCCGGAAGTTGATGTTGTATGTGGCAAACACATGAAAAAAATCGACGTATTCTCTAAACGTCAATTTTTATTATCTTCAGAATTACATCAACTGGTTCGCTATTTCATATCAATAGCCTAGTTCTCGTTGGTTCTCGTAGGTTGTTAATAAAATAATTTTCATATTTTATAATTTTTATTGCTGTTAAAAATATAAAGGCGTTTTCATATTTTTTTAGCCCTTGATAGACAAAGAACAAATGCACCATACAGCCTATATCAATTTTATACTTTGTGTAATCAATTTATTTTGGTAAACATTATTAATTCTTTTTCTGTATATGATACTACCTATTAAAATAATAAAGCGCTAAATTTAAAACACGTAAATAATATATTTTAAGTCAGGAATACAATTTATGTTTTTCGTGAAAATGAAATGAAATGCTCATGAGATATGCAATTTTGGATTTTGCAAACTATTGTTGCCTTTTGTTTGGCGCACTTATTTATAATATCATATCATTCATACCTGAAGACGATTTTAGTTTTTTTAAATTTTCTGCCTCCATAGACAATAATGACAAGTCTGATGCCTCCATAGACAATAATGACAAGTCTGATAGCCCCTTCCCATCCCATAGAAGTCCTTAGAATTTTTGCTTGTAAAGGTTCGGAGTCCCTGTAGCCCGAGGGCCCCAAAACAGGCTGGCTCAACCAGAAAATCTTTACACCTATGAAGGAACTCTGGCGCCCGCTTTAATTTCAAAATTGTTGATTTTTGATGCAACAGCAATTCCAAGATATAGTTGTTCATTATTTAAATGTTGTCTTGAATCTATTGGATCAATATTATATATTCAGATCTGTTAACGTAATATCTGTCCAAGAAGCATGCCAGAAAATCTATGTACAGATCTTATATTTTCGAGTCCTATTGCGTTATACAACAACTTCTACCGATAGGAAGTATAATTATTTCCGGATCCAGGTAAGGACCTGAATGCGGAATTAAAGGCAAAAGTGTCATTGCCAAGGCAAAGTCAGAGCAAGCAGAAACTAGTTCGACTTCCTTCGAGTCTCTCGCCAAAGCTATCCAAGGGAACTTCTGCCATCATTCCTATTTCTACACAAGGAGAACGACTCACTGGTCCATGCCGCAAAGGAGAAAACTCAACTCATGATGACGGGAGGAACACACCGCCGACCTTAACGCCGTATGAATGCTACATGCAGGATGTGCTGTTTACCTAATGCTCGGTGCGCAAAGCACTTCTCTCCCTTGACGTTAACAAGTCGAATGGACCTGATGGAGTCCCTCCCATTGTGCTAAAGACGTGTACTCCGGAATTGGCATTGGTTTTAACCCGTCTTTTCCGGTACTTCTACTTTCTAGGCGTAAGCTCGGGCTCATGGAAGCCAGCTTTGGTGCACCCGATCCTTAAAAAAGGCGACCGCTCAGCGCCATCTAACTACAGCCCTAACGCCATCACCTCCTTGTTGTCCAAAATAATGAAAACCATCATAAACTGCCACCTTATGAGGTACCTTGAGGATCACCAACTGATTAGTGACCGCCAGTACGGTTTCCGTCGGGATCACTCAGCTGGTGATCTTCTGGCTTACCTAACTCATAGATGGGCGGAGGCAGTAGACTTCAAGGGGGAGCTATTGGCCATTAGTTTGGACATTGCGAAGGTCTTCAATTGGGTTTGGCACAAAGCGCTTCTTTCGAAGCTCTCTTCCTATGGGCTTCCCGAAAAATTGTGCAATTGGATCACCGGTTTTCTTGCAGATAGTAGCATCAAGGTCATAGTAGACGGTGCATGCTCCGATTACAAGCAGTGCAGTTTGGTCCAACTTGAGAGATAGGATAGTTTTTATCCCGATAAGTGACCCTCAATGTTTTTATTGCGAACTTAAGGATGTTTATAGGACAAATGGTCATCGGACATATGCCTGGCCATCTAGTATATATATATATATATATATTAGCACGCCAGTCAGACGTTGTTCTGCCCTTTCCAACGACCCTTCCTATAAAAATCCTTAAATTCGCAATAAAAAATTTTGTGAGTCATTTAGCGGGATAAAAACTATCCTATCTCTCAAGTTGGACCAAAATACACACAGTGTGCAAAATTTCTTTGAAATCAGTTCAGTAGTTTAGGAGTCCATCGCGGACAAACAACGTGACACGTAATTTTTACATTTTTATTCTTCACACTCTTGGTTTACGCAAGCGACCTCAGGATAATTTAGGACAGAGGTAGTTTATGTGAAGGTTCGTTACTGTCATATCTTAGGGTTGCACTGCTAGGACTATATAGATAGATAAAGACAGAAAAAGTCAACTAAGTATGATCACCTTTGTACCTTAAGGTGAACGTTTTTAAACGGATGCACCGTTTAAAAATCTTGTTTAAAAAACGTTGACTACGAGTCTATTAATGCTAGTGTTCCATAAGGCTGCGTGCTGTCACCTACGCTGTTTTTTCAGTATATTAATTACTTGTTGATGTTATTGGTTTGTAACACTGATGACGCTTTTTACACTGGCCGTGCTAATATTTCTCGGGAAGATGTCATCGAGTATCGGAACAAACTTCTGTCGGAAGTCGAATCTTTAATAAACAAAATTTCGGATTGGGGATAACTCTAGTCCAGATTAAACTGCAGAAGACACAGGTTAACGCATTTACCACTAAAAATAACACCTTTGTCGTATCCGTTATATGTTATAGTTTACCAATTACGGATAGCTTCTAAAGATTAATTATCAAGCAATCGCAAGCAATAATTATCCTATAAGAAAACGCTTAGTAAAATTTTAAAGAAATTTCAAATTAAAATCCTAATGTTCAGGGTTCGATTCCCAGGTCGAATTACTTTTTGTTGTTTTCTTAGCAATATTTTCTTAGTAAATTCATAGAGGGAATTTTTAAGACAATAATCTAGTATTCCGGGTTCAATTCCCCGGTTGAGTTACTTTGTGTAGTTTTCTTAACAAATTTAAGAGAGATTTTAGGATAATGTTCTAGGACCACGGGTTCAATAATTCCCCGGTCGGAACGATCACCTTTTTGTCTTTTTGAGATTAATTTAGAGTTGTGTATTACATAATAATTAGGTATCTGTGTAATGTAAAAGCAAATTTTGTATAAAAATAAATGCTTATTTTCGATGTTTAATTCATGGAAATAATTTTGTTTGTGTTTTTTTTAATATATAGTATTGGGTAACAAACGAGCACACAGTCCACCTGATGGTAAGTGGTTGATGTGGCCCATAGACATCTACATCGATCTTCTTTTGCGATTAAAAATGCAGATGCGTTGTCAACCGCGTTAAAAATGCAGATGCGTTGTCAACCGAAATGTTATCAGATAAGAAACATTATAACTGATAAGGATAGTGTTTGTGAACCTTGGTGTTTCATAATGAACAGAGATAGGTGCTATCTGACCAAGGATTTCACTAGCCTCCTATCGAGGTGACGAGAGTCGTGTAGAAATTGGTTGTTCATATAGCGCGAACTAATAGCCGTGCGTTGACTTCTTGTTTAGGAGGTTGATAAATGGATTTTTAATTATTTGCAAAATTTCAGTAATTTATGCAAAATTGAGTCATATATGTTTCAGGATGACTGTGTAAGCAAAAAAGGTGAATTCTGTATTGTTTTTATGTATAAATTTGCCCTAAAATCGTGAAATAATGATAGCTTTGTATAAGAAATTTAA